GCCTTCTCCTAGACACCGTGACTTCAAGACGCTCTAATGGCCTTCTCTCCGACACTGTATGTAAACACGCACTAACGGCCTTGTTTAAACATACGTAAGAACATAAGTTCCTCCTCTTAATTGGCTCACCAATTCAATACTCCATTCAACCTGAAAATAATGATGAGGTACATGGGGTATTTATATGTGCATAAATTAAATCTAAGCCTAACTATACTAGATCTCCTAAATCTTGCAATAATAGAAATCCTAATACTAGAAAGCAATAAAATCCTATTACTACCAAATAACTAATGCTTGGCTTGCACACCAAGCAATTCTAGAAGCTCCCTAATTAAAACCTCGGCTGCCCCATATGCGCCGCCTTCCATTCGTGCGCGCCGACCCTCGGCTTCCCTAATCCTCGGCGCGCGAGGTATCGCGCGCCTCGTGTGCCCCGCACGCGCACGCCGCCTTCTCAGCTCTCTCGCCTAGTCCTTCGGAAACTAGGACTCGCGCGCGCCCCGCACACGCGCACGCTGTTGCGCGCGCTTGATTTATGCCGACCATCTCGCGCGCGTACTCGCCATCGCCCAGCATTCCTACGCCCATGCGGATCGGGTCGTCCGCGCTTGTCCCGCACTTGCGCGCTGTCGCGCGCCCATCGCCGCTGCCGCCTATGTCCCGCGCGTCCCTGCCACCTTCGCGAGTACCGCGCACGCCTCTCATGTTCGTGCCGCTCGCGCCATCATCCCTTGCCTCACGCGTCGCCTCCAGCGCCCCAGCGTCCCGATCCTCTACCGCGTGCCCCCGTGCACCCGCTGCACTGCGCGTCCCAGCCGTCCCCGTGGCCTGATCGCCTACCACGCACCCGCGTACGCCCGCTGCCATCCGCGTGCCGCCAACCTCTGTCGCCGATCCTTCCGATGCGCACCATCGTGCGTTGCTCGCGTCTAGCTTCTCGACGTCACTCCCCCGTGCACCAGTTCGACTCTTCGACCCCTCGCGCGCATTATGGCACGATGCGCGTTCTTTGCCCGTGCTAGCATTCTCCTCACCTCCCAACCTTGACTGCTCACCCGACGGCCATGGATCCCATCCATCAACCCAATACAATCACCAGATCGCCAAATCCAACCATCCTCCATTCTACTCTTACCTTGCCTTCGAGCCTCCATCTTGCGTACTCGCCTTTTCCTCGAACAAGGCTTGCACCAACACTTCTCTTCTTTAGCCTTCGCCTTGCCTTTCCTTCGAGCTCTTTTGGTCTTGCGTCTCCTAGGCTTAAGCTTAGCTCTTGGACCATATCCTTTCGGCCAATCCCTCACACATGATGGCCGGTAAATAGGACTAGATGGCTCCTCCAACATATTTTCTAGCCAAATATTGAGACCATCGCCACC